AGACAAGCACAGGAAGTAAAACTTGACAACACACATTAGGAGCAGACAAAATTACAAACTAAAACAGGAACCATGAAGCTCTCAGAAACACACAAGGAACAAAGTCACAAAACAAAACATTCAAAAGCAACACAGATAGAAAAACAAAACCGGAATACAAGTAAAACCCAGAAACTACATGAAAACATAGGAAACAACTGAAAAACCACCCAACCAACCCAAACCCTCGACAGGCCTATTATACAGCCCTGTCCGACACTAGTTGATAGACATGGGCGGTTAGATTTATAATTATTGATTTTTACAAGTTGGGAGCCATTTGAGAGGATTTGGTAAGGTTTATAAACTCTGAAGACAAATTAAAGTTGAGTAGTTTATGCAGTAGGATGATATGATTAAAGGTGTCGAATGCTTTCTGTAAATTAAGGTACACTGCCCCCACAACCATTGATGCCCTAACTTTTTAGTTAGGGCATCAATAAGTAGCTGTTTGTGTGTGCAGCAGGCATGTCCACAGCTGAAAAAAATATTATTTTGACATGGGTCATATAGTATATGACTGTAAAAGATATTTCATTATTTAAAGGATAATTTAATAGTGTTTTGTTACAGCATTTTTTTATTTCATCATAACCGCAGTCTTGACTTTTCTTGGTCAAGAATATTCTTCAGGAAAACTGTTGTCATATTTTAGTCGTGATATTATTATTATATATATTATAATAAATAAATATAATTATTACATTCATATCTGTTACTCATTTACAAAAACAGCTGGTCATTTAAGTAAAATAATACATTAAGATTGATATAAGGTAAATATATCAGCATATAAAGACATGCTAAAACGTTTGTAATGACCTTTTGTATTTACATTGTCAGACATTCTATTGTACCTTGTAATAAAATATAGAACCTGAATTGTTTAATAACTTAAGCAGAAATATTGAAAAACAAAAACAATTAGTCAGTTGAAGTTTTTGATTGGATGAAATATTTAACCATGTTCTAAATTTTACTTATACAAATAATAGATTTTTGCTTCATTGGTTATATCATGAATATATATACATGTATATATAATGCCGCAGTGTTTGTTTTGTGCTATTGTCATTACACACAATTTGTCTGCAGTGGAGAAAAAATACTTTGACATGAGGAACACTAGAACAAAGAAAAAAACATACATATGTATACAAAATACACCGGTGTGGGATTAATGAGGACAAGCTGTTTAATAAACATCAGATCTGAACGCAGTTGGTCGCTTGATTAAAACATAATCAATAAGGTTGTTAAAATCAAGGTGTAAGATGACAAACTGACAAGATCCCTGCCATTTTCTGTAAGGTTATCCAAATCTAAAGGAGGCACCAGAGGGTCCATTGTTCGACACCTGGTGTATTTTTTATGCACCTAGTGTCTCCTTATGTAAACACAAGCAGTTTCCTAGGACTGCTCCGTTCATCTGCGATGCAGGGCAGGAATGCTCTGACCTTGGCTTGACTTACCTACAATTACATACCCACACTCAAAAGCTGGCACACACATTTGGATGCACATACATACTTACACACTGACAAAACCATGCACCCTGCCTCTCCATCTTTCTCTCTCATCAACATTGTCCAAACACACAAACACACAGAGGTACACAATCACCCACTGTCGTCCATCTGAATTAGAACTAATAAGCAGGTGAATTGTCTGTGGAGGTTGAGCCATTTGTGTTGACCTTGGCAAACTGTGGTTTACCGTCAGGGTCAGACGCTATGGAAGTATGAATAAGTGGACCGAGGTGGCACATTTTTGTCAACAAATCAATGCAAGAAACACAATCATACTTACTGTACACCACAGGTCTCGACACAAAATAGGTGATCTGATTAGATTTTGAAGCGACTAGGTGCATACATTTGCATCTTAATGAGGTAAAACTCATTTACAAACTGCTACCTACTTACTGCTTTAAGCTAATGTTGCTAATACCGTCCATGTGTTTTGTGACAACATGTTGACATAGACATATTTGCTAATTAATACATTAATTAGCTGCACTAATGAGCTCATTCACATCACTGGGTATGTTAAAGACATTGTGGTAGCAGCAGAACAACAGGCAGCTAAAGTGTTCACTGCTGTGAGGAGCAGGAGAAAATATCAGCCAATGTAAGCTGAAGGTTGTGATGATGATGTTAGCAAGCTACAAAAATGACCTTGAAAGGATTAAATTGGAAAGAAGTGATGTGAGAGGTGAAAGTTTTCTTTTTCTACCAAAGGGCTGATTATGCTCCTCTCCATTAGACATATTTTTTACATTTATATACTGAATCATGAAAGACTGTTCATGGGATTACTCTGCTATGCTTTCTTATGTACAACAGTAGCCTTGACTCTAAGAGAGAGAACCCAATGGCTGTATTATGGGGTGTGGCTGAGTGTAGTCTGAAAAAACTCAAACGTCGACCTGCAGTAGCTGAAAACAGCTGAGAGAGCAATGAGATGGAACAACAGTCAAGTAGCAGGCTGGAAAACCAAAACACGAGCTGCCGAGTCGGGTGAGAATTTTCTGTGGGTTCATCAGTGACCACTTTCACATACAAGTAGTCACATGACTCCATTGTTAATATGTAAATATTGATTATAGATGCTTCAAGTACCCATTAAATTATATCTGCTCTATCTCCAAATTTAAGAAATAGCATTTTTACATTCTGAACATCAGCCACTGTGTAAATATGCCCATATATACTGATTGCAAAGGTTTATGTAGCTAGGATGAAAACTTTCTAATACCTATAATGCTTCATACCCTAGCAGAAAATTAATTAAATGCTGCACAAACATACATTACATGACTTTACAAGGTGAAATAGGGAGATAAAGAAGGGATTAACTAAATATGAGAAAGAAAAATGGGAAAAGGGGAGGGACATAAGAATATAAGTATATAACTATAAGTCTGTCTATCTATCTACCGATTAACAAACTTTAAAGAGTGAATAAAAGTATGCAGTGATGAATGAGAACAAAACTAAAACAGAGATTAAACAAGAGAGATCTGTACAAGTGTGCATTGAGAAGTGATAATAAAGATGAGAGACCACACTGGTGTGAGCTCCTCTGGCAGGTTTTCAGAAGTTTCACTTTCACAGTGAAGGTCCAGTCAACCTCAGCTACAAAGTCACTACAGAGTCGCTAAAACAGCTGCTGCTCTGGCTAGTGGGGATGAAAGGCTTAAATGCTACAGGTGGAGAACTCTGTTGTGATTCAGAAGTTATCCTGTAAAAAAAGAAAAAAGAAAAATACATCAGCAGGTCATCAGGATGATGGCTTTTAGATGGATGAGAAAACCCCTGAAGAGGTCAAAAGACAGCTCACAACTTTGTTGGATAGGTTTCCGATATTTATCTTGTCAGTAGATCTTGAAGGGTCAAACACGTCCAGCTGCAGGTAACTTCTGACCTGGAATGTACAGTAGATGTTTTGCCAGAAATAGTTAGACTTGTCCACTTAATATGGCGTGTTGACTAAGTGGTTAAGTCGGGTTGTCAGCCGTTAACCGTGATATTTTAGAATGGAATGACCCCTGTGTTCAGGACATGTAACACTTTCTACATAAAGAGCAGTCTGTAAAGCTATTGAAAGTGCGAGGGGCTCCTAGTTTCCTTACTGGTTGATGCCGGTGGTGTCATCTGCTTAACTGTGAAAATCTGGAATGATCGGCAGCAGCAGAAGGGTAATTTAGCCCCAAGGAAGAAAAACGTTAGACACATCAGAGCCGTGTTAAAATGCAAGGAGAGTTTACATCCCTATGGAAAGAAATTAATATTTGTATTGAAGCAATGGAAAGTCCAGAGAGGTCTTTTGAGTTTCTGCCTTGGCTCCAACACAGATGAGGAGTTGGTATTTGGTCCAGGAGCTAATGTTCATAGTTTATTGTGAATAATAATTTACCAATATGTAACAGAGGAGACTCTGCTTGTGAAGGTAAACAACACCATTTATCTAAATCACAATTTCGGAGGGGAAAACTGAACTGAACATTAACAATATAATCCAAACACTGTCCATTCATTGTGAAAACAAGTATCACCACAACATCTGTATACCTCATCAACCTACCCAGGGATTGCAGATGAAAATAAGGCTTTTGGGTAAATCTGACACGTTAACATCATATTGACAGCTTGAGGTTTGGAAGCATCCAACCAAAACAATCCGACGCCCTCCCTTCAGTGCTCCCTCCAAAACACATTTTCATGCACAAGGAGTACACAAGCATAGTGCGCACAGGTAAGTAGATAGGCAGGTAGGCTAGCCAATCATTTCAATCAGTCCGAATGCTCTAAAGTACTGTATTAGACTTTTCAAACAGAAAAGAGAACATTCTTCTTTGAAGGAACAAAATATTCCAGTTAAGAGCTATGTGAGTTAGCCCGGGTCCATTTTCCAGCCAAAGCTGCACTAAAAATCAAACAGAAAGAGTTGACTTTATTGGCAGCAAAAAAACCAGGCATGTTATTAACTTATGTGACTTTTTAATACAGTAACACCATGGGCACCAAAGTCTCAACAAACTAACCAAAAAAGGTTGCTATAGATTATGAAAAATATCATCTGAAAAGAGACCAGTTTTTTTGGTAGCTTGGTTGAAAATGGTACTTCAAAGATCGAGTGTGAGGATTCAGGCTGTTTTTAGTCATTTATTACATTTTATTTTTCTAGTAACTGTTGGGCAATGTATCTTAAAGGGGGTTAAGTTTGTATATTACTTTAAGCATTTGGTGGGTACAGAGGACATTTTTGTGAAGTTTGCCAAGGATACATGCAAAGTGATGTCTATGCAGAAAGGTGAATTTGATGAAAACTGCTACAGGACTTTTTGAGGAGGTAAACACAAGACCTGAGAGTGAAAATCTGGTATCAACCGTAATAACCCCTACTTTATTTTCCTTCCTCTCTTATGTAACATATCTGTCTTTCCTTTCTTCTCTCAGAGTGAGGACCTTCCCTAAGGATTCGGCCCTACTGGGCAGGGACACTGTTCGAGCCCTGATGTACTACGCCTTGAAGGTCTGGAGTGACATTGCACCACTTAACTTCCACGAGGTGGCAGGAAGTGATGCAGACATTCAAATCGACTTCACTAAGGCCGACCACAATGATGGATATCCCTTTGACGGGCCGGGGGGCACCGTGGCACATGCATTTTTCCCCGGAGAGAGGTTCACAGCTGGTGACACGCACTTTGATGATGACGAGGCCTGGACCTTCAGATCTCCAGGTGATGAACGTTGCTTTTAAGTGTCAAGTGTTGTACACATGCGCTCAAATATGCATGTATTAAATTAATTAGTGAAACACAGTGTGTGTCTGAATAAAACAAAGGGTAGAAGATAGCGGGGATGATGAGGGAGAGTGGATATGGAGTGATATTCTGGGAAGCATCTCACCAAAACCTGTCTTAGAGACTCCCAGAGTACTATAAAATGAAAAAGAGCTTGAAAACTGTTTTGAACTTCCATGCTCGCCAAGACTTCTATATCCAAAACAAGATCGCTGATTGGATTTTGGAGCCAAGCGGTGGGAGCTTCTACCCTTTGTTCATGTTCCAGATTCTATAATGAATATTTAATATGTTAGAACCATAAATATAACATACAATGACTTCAGATACAGGACTCAGAGTAGTGACTAAAGCAGAGGTGATTGTTATCACAAGCTTATTAGGAGGCATAAAAGGCGTCCTTTCATTTCCTCCAACTGCCACAACAAACAATCTACAAGTATACGCCCATGAATTCTTGTTTTTAGCTTCAACAAAAGTGTTGGCTTATATTGATCCCACCTGATTGTTAAGTTATGCTAAAGGGTTTTCACAAGAATTGATTTTTTGAAATGTCTCAACAGAGAAACAGGGAAGAACAAAAAGAGACCAAAGCACCGTATTTAGAGTGATAAATGTATTTTTACCTGACACCAAAATGTTTATTTTGATTTATCGCAATAAAAAGCTGAAAGGAATATGTCTATACCAGACCTCAAAGCAACACTATAATCTGTGATGTCACCTAACCACAGCTCCAATTGCAATCAAAAATTGGACGCAATGACAGTGATTAGATTTCCAGGGTTGTGGACATGCTATTTTGTCTAGAAATATGTGCACAAAATCTGTCTGCCTTTATAATAGCTTTGGGTATCAAGAACAGTTGCAGGTTAGAGTCGGTACCAAATTCCAAGAAACCACGAACGGGAAGATGAGCTTGGAGAAAGTGGATGAATGTCACCGAGCGGTGACAAGGTTTGTGGTGAAGGATTTGGAATCAGAACTGATTCGAGGAACAAGTTCATATACTCAAGTACTGTGCTCAAGTATAATTTAAAGTAATTTATTGCACTTTATACTTTTACTCCTCTACATTTCAGAGACAAATATTGCACATTTCGACAGCTGGAGTTACTGCTTAACTGCAAGATTATTATCTAAAACAGTGCATGTTTCAGATTAAACAATAAACTATAAAGTTAACGCCACCTCAAGCAGGTTAACATCAAAATGCTGCTTACACATTAATGAGTCAGTAAAAATAACCTCACGATGTACTACATTTTGAATAAGTACTTTTACCTTTAATAAACAATGTATGTTGCTGCTCATATTTCTGTAGTCACTTTATTGAAATGATTTTTAAAATGTTGGATTTAGTAATTTCACACTGTAGTATTCAAAGGAAACGTTTGAGTGGAGTGGGACAGAGCTAGGCTTGCTGTTTACACCTGTTTTCTAGTCTTTATGCTAAGCTGGCTATAGCACAGTGGTTTCAAAATCGTATTTAGCTCTTGGATAATACGCTTATTTCCCAAAATGTCAAACCTTCCTACTTCGTCCACCACTATTGAGGTATCACTTTATAATTACCCATGCAGATCAGACACTTATGTCTACAGTTTGCAAGCCAAGAAAAGTGATGCATATGTGTGCAAATACCATGATCACTTGATTTTAGACAGAAAAAAGACACAACTCTTCATGGTACATACTCCTCAGGCTGAAAACTAGGCTCCTCGGGGGTCACATGTCCACTATGCTGTTCTGCTCCCTAGAGATGAAACTTAAAGCTTGTAGCGGGGTGTAGATGACAATGACTGTACCAGCTGGTGAGTCTATGATGCAGCCAGGACCTGTGTTCATTTCCATTCTTTGCTTTTGCCCTGTTAAAGCTGCGCACCATTTGTTATAGCCGCTCAGTCTGCTCCAATTAGACCCCCAAGCACGCTGCAGCAGTGGCAGGACAGCATGATGCTGTAGTAGAATTATCTGCATAGATGGGGGTTTGGTGAAAGGGAGCTGGGAAGTGAACGATGGAGGGGTCAGTAGTGTGTTCTTATCTTTATTCTCTCTTCAAAATCTAAATTTCCAAGATAATGACTGATGATTTAAACAGTAAAATAAAACAAAGACAGTTATCTGTGCAAAGAGTCATGTTTCCAGGCATAAATTACTGAGCTGTGGTGGCCTAATGGAAGACAACCACATTGTTAAAAACAGCCTTTACTGTGAGCGAGAGTGAAAAGACACTGGCTGTGAATCATCTTACTTTGATAGATGTTCCTGCTTCCAAGGTTACTTCTTTCACTCGGCAATAAAAGAAATGTGCATCAAATAAAACACTTCATACTTTTTCATTTGTAAATCAGGCACCTGCCTCTTTTTGGCTGTACTCCTTAGTGGCACTTGAGCCGTCTATTTCCAAAAAACCCAAACCTGCACTGTAAACTGCTGCCTTTTGATTTTTTTTAACAGAATTAAGGTTTATGTGATTTTTATATATAGATTGTATACCAGAGACAACATTATATGTACGCTATAAAAACAAAATATTGCCCTTGCGATCGCTCTCTTACGCTTACTTCGAGACTGTCTAATCAAATGCCTTAAGCAATTTGGGACTTACCTCTAGGCCAAAGTACTTGCTAATTATAGAATTTCAAATCTTCTCTTTCTTTTAATGCACTGGAAATGATAATAGCTACCCAATTAACTGTGTAGCTGTAAAGCGATGTGGTATTCAAATGTTTCAGCCTGACATTTAGGTCATTTCAAAGCACTTACAATGCACTTTTAGTAATAAATGACATACTGCGTTGTAGTTCTACACAATGAGTGCCGCCTATGATTCTGTCACAGTATACTTTTCCTTTCTTATTATTTTTCCCTTTTCTGTTTCTTAAATATGCATTATCTGATGTTTTTGGCAGTGCAGAAATGACCTGTAAACACATTTACATATTATGATATGAAAGTTGGTATGGCAAACATATTAGGAAAAAAGTTGCCTATTTACACATCCAGCAAACACAGAAAAATATGTGTTTCTGACAAGTCTAATATTCAGTCTCCTTTTGGCTTTATATTTGGTCTCCACTAACTCCTGAGGGGAATATGTGGATTTTTAGAGCTTTTTCATAGAAAAGTCACCTACTGCATCGGAAAAAGTGTGAGTAGTGAGAGTGAACCAAAACCGTAACGTTGCTGCCTGTAAAATTAAATACTATGCTAACTGACACTGACACGCTCTGTAGGGCTGAGCAGAACTGAAGGGTCATGTGATAATTCTCTCTGGATTTGGGAATTACAAGTAGTCATATGTTAATGTTTTTGACCTCTAGCAGCACAATGGAGCTGTTTTGCTGTGAGTGAGTCCCCGTTGTGTTCATCTCGTGCATGCACACAAGGATGCACGTGAATTTGCGCGCACACAGGTGATGCGATACACATTCCAAATTATGGAGTCACATTATACTGCTGATCTCCAGCAGGCGGTAATGCGGCAAGATTTGCAGCAATAGTCCAACAAAGGTAGGAACGAAGAAGACTGCTAGCTAGCAAACATGGATATAAACAAAACAGGATTTGAAATTTTAAAGAAAATTCTATCTATCAATGTAAACAGAACTTTTGTTTGTTTACTAGGAAATATCTAAGGGCACCTTTCATATCAAAATATTGATTATAGCAACTTTAAAAACATGAATTAACATGTTACACATGGCATTTCATATTGATAGTTTTGGTGAATCTGGTTATTTTTATAATGCTGGACCATAAAGAAAAGTTGATAGATATTAAATTCTTCTTATTAATTAATTAATTAATTCTTTTTATTTAACTAGACAAGCATTATTTTGTCTTCATTTTATGTGTTGATTTGCGCTTTTCTCTTTTCTATTAGTCTGCTGGTCAGGAAAAGCAACAGGTTGCATCCTTTCTTCTTTCTCAGCATTTACCCATTGATTGTTTTGAGCCACGTGCACCTGTATGTTCACTGTTGCTCACTGTACTAATTAAATTTGGACCATTGATGTAAAAGTCCCTCATCTCCTTTTTTGTATAGCGGCCGTCCAGTCTGTTGAGTAGCTTAAAGGATCATTTTTCCAGAGCTGTCAACTTGTCTAAATTAACACAAATAATTACTTATAATTTAAAAGCTGATGAGACTTTCATTCCTCTCATTTAATTTTGACATGACATCATAGCCATAATAGCTCTTTGTATCCACTTTGCCTTGGGCATGCCAAAATCACAGTGTCTCCTAACAAATACAGACTAGCTGAAAAGGGAAAGTTACATATAACAATAACAGAGCCTGATTAAATACATTGGAAGATTATCTGCCTAGACGGGTTTCTTGTATATAAACAGTACTGGATGCGCACGCAGCCAGGGAGCAAAAGTGCTTTGGTAGCCGGTGTAACACCAAAATGTGTGACCTATCAGATTCTGTGACCCAAATGGCAAGTTAAGCACCAGAGGCTTCGTTGACGATGTGAAGCGGTTGCAGTGTGGTTGGGTTTAGGCACCAAAAGTACTTGGTTATGGTTAGGAAAACATCGTCGTTTGGGTGTAGTCACAGAATCTGATAGGTCACACATTTTGGTGTCACACCTGTCAGAAGACTGTAGTCAACTGCTGTATCCATCAACATAGATTACGCAGGTTCATTATTGTTCCAGTAAAGTGGATTCATTTCTAAAATCCGCTGCTGAACAGGTTTCCCGTCACTTTTAAGGATGGGGTGCGGTGGTTGAAAGTAACTGTAACGTAACGAGTAACGTCACTATTTACTTTTAATACCCAGTAATAAGTAAAGTAATTTAATTTAAAAGTAAGTCATTACAATTTCTAAGTAATTTGCCCAACACTGCTGCTAGATATGCCGTATAAACTGATATGCCACGAGGACAGAATGCTGCTTTCTGCCTCCTGGTTGCGCGCATCTCGGTGATGATGTTGCACAGAAACCCGTCTATAACCTGGCACATAAGTAACAAGAAGTTGCAGTGCAGGGGGTAATTTACAATGTTGCCGTTACATAGTTTGTCCACCAGAGAGCACTGACAAGTTTATTTTTCAGGTATAAAATTACCCAATTTACTCACTCACCAAATTTACCCACAAAATTACCCACTCATTTTTGCTCAACATTTCCAAATTTAAGGTAGCGTAACGCCATAACAAATCAATGAGAGTTCAAGAATCTGACTTCTGTTGTAGAGTCACTTCTTGGAGCCATGGAGATAAATATTTCAAATTGCAGAGGTCTAATTTTCATTTTTCAGGACACCTTTTTTTTTATGTATTTCCAAGGATTCAAGTACATTTCTCCTCAGGAATATTAATATTCATGATCATCTCCCCATTTGAGTTTTAATGAATAAGGGGTAAGGTCTGAGCAGTACTAGAGCATCACTGTCAGGGTAAAAATGCAGGAACTGAATTTGTGGGTCAGCTCTGGCTGCAGATGCCACCAGAATGGGTTTTTAGGGAGCTTGTGAATCATTTCAGTCTTGCAAAAAAAGGGCAACCAATAAATTAATTCTTCTGCTTGAACAGTTCCATAAAAACTGAGACTCTTAATGTTTGCTAATTTGCACTATATTAAACTCTCAGAATCAACGTTATGTCATATCAAACTTTGTTTCATTGATTTAAACGATGAAATCCAACAAATTTCCAGACCTGTGAAACTACAAGGAGGGGTTGGGGGGTGCTGGAATTTCTGTATCATCATCCTCTGTTAATTTCACCAACATGCTCCTGAATAAATTAGGTGAATGTGTTGTTTCATCAAAGCACTCGTTGTTTCATCCCTGCTTTAAACATAATAAAAACAATAATATACCTCAAATCTGCTGATACCAATATTGATTCTAGAGTCATTATGGCACTAAGTAATGTAAGTCACGATACTACAAGGATGCACATCAAATGAAAAGAATAGCCCTAGGCTAGTTGTGCTCCTGCTTCTTTGCATCTACCATATGGTATCCCATCCTTATTAAACTTTTAGCCAATTGCTTCAAGCTGTGTTTGTAGCATTCTGGATACATCAAGCTATTTTCAAGGTAGCAGTACCCTTTAATTTATTATATTTACAGTATATTATGATGCCCTGAAAATAATTTGTTAATTAGTCGCTGATCTCTCTACCCAGGGCTGGGCAAAGATTTTTGCTCCTGAGTGAAAATTTAAGAAACCAGCTGGTTAATTGTGTGGTTAAACTATTCTTTTTGGTCAGAACGTGACAAACACTTGATGCCAAACAGTGGATCACTTCACAAATCTGAGGTAGAACATTCAACACAAACATTTCAAAAAATATGATTAGTAAATCTTTTTTCAGTCCCTTTTCCTCAACAATATCTTAACAGAAAAATTAAGTGTTAATTAGTTTCTGATTCAAATGAATTAAATCAAACATTCATTGCCAATATATTGAACATTTATTATATTGTTCCTGAGGAAAATTAAATTGTGATAATTATCATTATTGTTTTATTACCCAGCTCTACCTCTACCATGCAGTAATATCATTTTGCTTTCTGTTTACTCTAAACATATATTTCTGTCTGTCTTTCTCTCTTTCCTGCTCTCTGTCTTTCTGCCACGAGTGTCGTACTCTATGAGTCTCGTTCATCCAGCTAAATCTCTCAGCTCTGACTTTGTCCGCAGGCATTAGGATTTCTTTCTGTCAACCTCTGATGTACTGTAAATACGATGACATGGTACCTACTTTGTTCTGAATCCCTGCTCTCTCCCCCTCGACCCTTTCTTTTATCTACCTTTCCTTTCTGCACCATGTGCTCCTGTAGATTAGAGTTGGCATTTGGCTTCTGATCATCCCAGGTGTTGTAAGCGCAAGTGCATGTCTCCAATTGTCCTTTGTCTTGTGACAGAGCGCAGCACTGAGATGTTGCCAAGTCAAGGCCAACATAAGGTTAACTGAATGCAGACTTCAGCCTAGCCACCAAGGAGCTCTAAGCTAGCTTGGCTTGACACGCTAGCACTCACATATTTGCAAATCTAAATCTCTAAACCCCAGTTTTTGTCTTGCTCAGCAGAGCCAGACAAGGAGTTTTTCTTTTTTAGCATTACATCGAAGGAAATGTGCTTTAATAGCCTGCAGCCTCTTTAGGTGTCTTTCCACACTCAAGTTTTGATTGGCAGCCCAGGGGCTCAGGCAGTATTACCATAGTTATCTCACTACACCACATGCCTAACAGCACTCACAGCCACCAGAGCTGTCTGTCACGCCTCTTAACTTGCAACCTATAGAGTTCATGCATAAAAGGGATAAACATGCAAACAGGGGTTGTGTTGGTTCTACAAAAGTCACAAACTTTAGGTAGCAGGATGATCTCGTCAAAGCTGAAGCTGAAATAGTAGCAGTTAAACTAAAAGTAATTAATGATTTATAAAATACTACTAATACTACTCATGTTTTCATAGTGAAAACCTTCATTATCATGTCTCATTGTGACTCCTTGTTGTTTGCATCTCTTGCTTCTACGTCTGTTGTTTCCTCTTACAGCCCAAAAAGGATGCAGATTAATTTTGAAATGTTGAGAGTGAGGGAAGAGGAGCTGTGTCTAAGATTTTGAGTGTGCAATTTTCTTGTCAAGTAATTTACTGCTGTGCTGGACAGCAACGATTGTAGGGAAGAAAAATATGCTGTGTGCAGTATTCTGTTGCTGCTTCTTTGATTGAATTGACTGCTCACCTAAATGAGGGGGGACAAATTTTAAATTTTCCAAATTGGAAGGCATGTGTCTTCCTGTTTTATTCCAGTTACAAGTTCAATTATGCCTTGTTACAAATGCAAGTGCATAACATTTATTTGCTGTTTTTTTTTCAGACTATATCAACTAATGTCAGATTCCATTTACATATACATATAGCTGAACAGGAAAACACATTAAAATAATGCAAACAATACCAAAATAAAAAATACCAACAACTTCTAATGACTACATGTCAAATCCTTTTTAAAAAACAGCTGTAACTTGTGTTTAAAATGGCCCCATTCATGATCCGATTTTGGGTGTTAAGGAGTTCTACATATCGATAGAACATGTATAAAAACACATTGTAAAAAAGCATAATGGTGATTTCCGTATCTCTCTGTCTCCTTCAGACTCTCATGGGATGGATCTGTTTGCGGTTGCAGTCCATGAGTTTGGTCACGCCATCGGCCTGGTGCACACCTCAGCCATCGAGTCCATCATGAGACCGTACTACCAGGGTCCTGTAGGTGACCCTTTGAAATACGACCTACCCTATGAAGACAAGGTCCGCGTCTGGCAGCTCTACGGTACGAGGGTACATCCATCTCTCTGTGTGTGTGTGTGTGTGTGTGTGTGTGTGTGTGTGTGTGTGTGTGTGTGTGTGCGTGCGTGCGTGAAACAGGAAGAGAGAGAGCAATTGATGAACTCTGTAGAGCAAGGTTATTGATTAATGAAAACATAGATTGAGTTAATTGGACCTCTTTACAGCACATGACCTTATCACTCCAATTACTGATATAGAGAATAGCAGTGTACGGGGGAAAGACTAATGATCATGAAGTCAGGAATGAAGTGCAGGTAAGAATGCTGAAGCACAGTACTGTGAACGGTGAGATTAATTTAATTGAATTAAAAAAGGCTAAGACAAAACTAAGAGTAAGCAATTCTGTATATTTCAAATCCCGTGGTACAATAAAATAAGTGCATAATAATGTCAAAGAGGAGGAACTAAGCTAACAAATTCCATCAGCAGAATGTCTGAAAATTTCTTAGGCTTTTTCATTAACAGATTAATTGGAATAACAAAAAAGAAACACAGATAGCTTGTTTTGTTTTGTCTGACAAACAGTACAAAACCCAGTGGAATAAAATTTACATTTATATAAAACAAAGAAAAGCAGCAAATTGCCTTGACCGTTCATTTGATCTTAGTCACATATTCTCCCTAGGTGTCAGAGACTCAGTGTCCCACACAAACCGACCAGGCAACCCCTCCCCGACGGCTGAACCGCCAGTCCTACTGGACCTTCCTGAAAACAGATCTACAGTCATGTAAGTAGATGGTCTGGTGTCTTTTTTTAGTGCAACACAAAGAACTCAACTCAACTATGTGTTTGTCAAACATATGAAATAATCCACTTCAGCCTCTTCAGCAATAATGCTTCATCCCCTCTCTCTTTCCCTTTCCTAGCCCTCTTAAACACACACACTTGTCTTCTTTTCCAATCTCCCCCAGGCCCCCTGTTTTTTTCACTGTGCACTGCCTTAGTGAAGGTGGTGGAGCAAAGACTGTAGTAAATGTCCCCTATAGATAAACACAGAAAGGCAGTAAAAGTAAAAAGACCCACTAGCAATCCTACAATGCTACAGTGCCGAGGCCCTAGAACAGGGTTTCCAACCTTTTTTATTAGATTTACCCCCACAGCCCTGCCAGTTGAACTCAAGTCATCATCGTTCCAAATGTTAATTTGAACTGATTTTAAACAGCATTTTAATTTACTTTTAAAATTGTAAAACTTGTTCTAATGGTGAAATCTGAAATGACAGAAACCATGTTTTTTTACTAGTCCAAAATAACATTACAAGAAGACATAGGAAAATTGCTTAAAACATACTGACATTAGGACATTAAGATAAGTATAGTACTGTACAGCAGTGTATATTGAACTTGGGTAAGAGGTAAACAAATAAAGTGGGGAGATTGACCCCACTAATTGCATGCCAGGGAGGGAGGCTCAGGGATGGCAGCAGGAGAGCAGGGTCCACTCAAGAGTCATAATCTTAAATGAATATTATTAAAAAAAGGGATGGTATCTAGGTATTTTGTAGGAGTTATTGCGGTGGGCCATCCCAAAAGGGGATCGGCTGCTAAACTTCCCATTGGGATTGCCCCCAGACCTGTAGGAGGTAGCCAATCCAATGTTGGATGGTTGTGATTTATATTTACATTTATTCATTTAGCTGACACTTTTATCCAAAGCAACTTACAATTGCTTTTTTATGTCAGAGGTCACATGCATCTGGAGCAACTAGGGGTTAAGTGTCTTGCTCAGGGACACATTGTTGGATGTTTCACAGTGAGGAATTGACCCCAGGTCTCTCACACCAAAGGCATGTGTCTTATCCACTGCTCCATCACCACCCCACACACCCCCACGTTTTGTTTTGTTTTGCTTGTTTCTCTCATTTTCTTCTCTGTTTGTCTTTTTCCCCCCTTTGTTGATGTTTCTCTTTTTTCAGCCCAATCTTAGCCCTTATTATTTTATTTTATGTAACCATTTCTACCTAAGGGTTAGAAAGTCAAGCATCCTTGCCCACACTTGCCAACCTTCCCGATTTTCACGGGAGACCTGATTCCCTGTATTTCTCCCGATTTATGACAAATGTTCACAACAATGTGTCCTTTTCATTGCCCTCATTACCGTTTCTGGCACAGTTTCTGGCACTGTACAGTTCATGTAAGCCCTTCAACTCACTCTGTATACGGTTTCCAACCGGACAACTAGCGAGCACATGACGAGAGTACTTTTAACAAACAATTAACACTGTTTATTCATTACGTTTATCTAACCATTTTAACTGTTACTTTTAGACCCTTTTCACGCATTAGTTTTAGCTATCTGTTTTAGCCATGTATCCATTACTTTTGGCTAACTGTTTCAACTGTTGGGTTTGAGATCTGTTGGTTGGTTTTCAACTGTTACGTTTAACTAATTCAACCATTCACTCATTATGTCTAGCTATCCATTTTAACCATGCATCCATTAGTTTTAGCTAACTGTTTCAACTTCCCTGCTTACTTGCTACTCTTGTCACACTCAAGACAGGTGTTACAGAACGTGGATATATTTTTTTAATTGAATCACAATTTGTTCTGTTTAATCAAATTAACTCTACAATCTTTCAACATTACCCCTGGCACCTGCAGAAGTAACCTCTGGGGTACAAGTAGCCTCAATTGGGAATTGGTGCTCTAGGAAAACTAGAAACATATAAAGATTGGCTTAAACTTTACACACACACACACACACACACACACACACACACACACAGGTCATTGGCTCTTCATCTGAGCACGAGTGTGCTCAGTGTCATGGCATTGTGCTGGTGCTAAAGGCTGATGGACCTTCACAATAAGTACATTTCATCCTCCAGCCACCATTACCACAAATTTCATGACCATCTGGGCATTTACTGACCATTTGGCTTTTGGGGGGTATTAAAGAGAGAGATAATAGTCAAAATTTTCAAAAGACAGTGGATGAAGGGATATGTGCAGGTGGATATTTTGGTCAAACAGTGATGATTAAGGTAAGATCATCACGTAATTCATCCTCCGTTATTGTCTGGAACAATAACTTGGACAGACCAACAGGCTCAACCTATATGCACAGCAGTGCTGCGTGTCAGTCAGACTACACAGCACATGAACCTAAGTGAATTTTGAGTGATGACCTGGATTCAGGAGTCTAGACATTCCTCACAGTAGAACTAGCCACAATAAAATATCTTATTATATTATCTTATATTGCCAGGACTATATGTCTTATACTTTCCTATACAGCACAGTAGCTCTTTGAACATGTATTTCTGTTAACTTGCCATTGTACTAACCTTATAGATTTTGATATGTTAATTATAATCAAACATCAACAGTGCCTGGTTGCTTTTCAACTGCATCAACTGTACTCTCGGTCTCTTGAATTAATAGGCTCAAGAGGGGGCAGCTTGCTTAGGGAGTGTTTCAAACTACGCTGACAACAAAACCCAGTGCTGGCTGACCTCCATGCACTCACACTAACATACAAAGAGTATGCAGCAGTTCTAAACTAAGCAGGTCTATAAAATCCTCTTTTCGTCCCTACTATTGGCCTTTCACTGCACTCATTACTCATTTTTCACCACTTCCTTCTGGTCATGAAGTGTGGAAAAGCTGAATTATACTTGACAAGGGTCACAAATGCTGACCGCTAGGCAGAGGTGTCGTGTTAAAAGAGCTCTGAATGGAGATCTTTGTTGATAATACAAGAGTGGGCTCCCACTCACAGTGGCAGCCCTGTGGTGCTAATGGCTTCATCATTGGCATGCCGACCACGTCAGTGCTTTAAATCACTTATTAGCCCCGGGGATAAATGCACTGGGGGTTCTCACTGTGTCAGCGTGAATTCATTTCATGTTTCATGTTTAGCCTATTTAATTGAAGAAAACACATGCACATGCATGCACAGTCAGACTCTCTCAGTAGGTGGCTGCAATAATCACATAGTTGGGTTTTTTTGGTATGCAAATGGCTTTAAGTGGTTTTGGTATTTATTCGTGAACTGCTAACCCTACAAGTGAAGTTGTTTTATGTTTATATAAAAAATAGGTATGTATGTATATAGCCTGTAAATGTATTTCTTGTTTTTTTTTAACAAATAAAACTTCGTTCCTCTTTCTCTGTTCTATTCTCTTCAACTTTTCTTTCCTCCTTCCTCCAACTTTCCTCTATCAGGCTGGCGCGAGATGCCCCTGACAGATGCACCAGTCACTTTGATGCCGTGGCCCAAATACGGGGGGAGGCCTTCTTTTTCAAAGGTACTCAAGTCTAAAGGGAGAAAGTGAACAAGAGAGACAGACGGACAGAGATAGAGAGTGAGGTGAATGGAGAGGAGATAAAAGTGAAAGAGAAAGGGACAGGGGCTGGGCACAGGACAGAGTGGTGGCTCCAGCGATCAATAGAAAGCTGAGTCATGTGTGGCTCCCAGGCCTTGTATCACAGACTCACACTGTCACATATGCTGCAGTCCAAAACAAAATAGCGCCATACAGCAACATTCTGGCCCCTGTTTTGCTGTATATTTATTATCTGCTGAGCTAGAAATTATTGTTTTAGGCTTATTGGCCAGTGTGGCTAGTATATTTACAAAGCACGACGGTTATCACAGCCACAACATGTTAAATAAAGTTATACTGAAAATTATTTCATAATGACAACAGTATGATGTGTATTGGATAAGGTTCCCCTTCTTGCTAATTAGTTACACCTCTCCTCCACGCCTCCTAACAAGGCAACAAAATTATTATTTTTAAAGAGAATTTTTAAAACCCCTTTCATAGTTATTGTTTGAGCTTTAGTTCATCTATAAGCCATGGTGACAGGAAGGAGGGGTACAACCTGTGATAAGATTACTGCAGACACAGGGCACTGTGTTTTAACTAAACATAGTTTTTCTTGTAATACACCCCTACAGGATATTGTGAAGAAGTTCCAAGCTCTAACCACTTCCTGTCTGTCATAGGGAAGTACTTTTGGCGACTAACTCGAGAGAAGCACTTGGTGTCTCTTCGTCCGGCTCAGATCCATCGCTTCTGGAGGGGCCTTCCCCCCAATCTGGACAGTGTGGATGCTGTGTATGAGAGGCCTGGGGACCACAAAATAGTCTTTTTCAAAGGTAAATATCTGATTTCAAGCTTATCTTACTCTAGCATCCATATTGTATTTGTCAGTGTGAATTTAGTTGACTGACCAGGCATACATTTGCTTTCTTGCAGCTCCATATCAAACACAATCAACATTAACGCACTTTTGTCAATAGTAGGCTGGACTATTGCTTTCTTTTCTGGTCTACCAAAAAAGCCATAGATCAACTTCAACTTGTACAAAATTCAGCTGCTCGTGTGCTGATCAGGACCAGAAGGAAAGTACACACATTACACACTGTTTTACAGTCACTGCACTGGCTACCTTTGAGTTTCAGAACTGATCTTAAGATTATTTTATTGAGCTACAAATCAATAAATGGTCTCGCTCCCAACTACTTGTCTGACATGGTTTTAAGAAATGTACCCACTACATCCCTCAGGTCCTATGGTAATGGGTTATTCCTAGGGTCCTGGCTTACACCCACAGTGAAGAAGCTCTTAACCACTATGGCCCCAGCCTGTAGAAAGGTCTGCCGGAGGACCTGGTGGGAGCAGAGTGTGGAATAGAGTCTTTTATTTTGTGTGTGTTTACTTTAATATGCACTTTAATGTAACTTTTATGTTGTACTTTATTTTATTCATTTTAAATGTTTTTTTTTAATTTAAACTTCCTTTTTAACTCATGTATGTTCAGCACTTCTATGTGACTTATAAACACAACTATATAAATAAATTGATTGATTGATGTATTTTTAAATGTTGCTATAGTAATTGGGTGGATACATTCCAAACTATGAAGGTGTTATTTTTCCCTTTAATTCAAACCTCTGTGTCCACCCTCTTCAGGTCTAAAGTACTGGGTATTTAAAGACAATAACGTGGAGGAGGGTTACCCTCGTCCAATCACTGACTTTGGCCTACCCTTGGAGGGCGTGGATGCAGCCTTCGTCTGGCTACACAACGACAAAACCTACTTCTTCAAGGACAGCCACTACTGGCGCTACGATGACCACCTGAGGCGCATGGACCTGGGATACCCTAAAGACAGCACGCTTTGGAAGGGGCTGCCATCACAACTGGATGACGCCATGAGGTGGTCTGATGGTGAGTGGCCATAACTTAGTTATAACTTAGGCCACAGTTATGGACTGGGTGTAACATTCATGAGAAGATTCAGTAAAAGAATGGCTCTGAATGCCAAAAACATTGAAAACATTTTCATCTTTATGCTCTGTACATATTTAGCTACATTAGTTTTAAAAATTTAAACATGGGGGGAGGGGTAGTGTAAAACGATCGATCAAATTGCTGTAAATTGTTGTTAATAACTATCATTTATTCATATATTTATATAACCATATATATATGTATATGTATCCTCTCTTACTGGGATTGCTTAAAGCTCCTCATAATGTATGGAGGGTTTCACCTCAAATCCAGCACCCTGACACTGTACACCAAGCAGGGTGGCCGAGGGCTAGTGAGTGTCAAGACCACTGTCCAGGATGAAACGACAAAGATCCAAGAGTACATCAGGAAGATGGCCCCCAAAGATGAAGGGCTTAGTGAATACCTCAGGCAGCAGAGACCCGAGGGTGAGGACAAGGAAGATGAAGAACCTTCATGGAGGGACAAGCACGGCATGTACCACAGACAAATAGAGGAAGTGGCTGATATCAAGAAATCCTGCCAGTGGCTGGAAAAATCTGGACTGAAGGACAGCACAGAAGCACTAATCAGGGCGGCACAAGAACAGGCACTCAGTACAAGATCAATAGAGGCGGGGGTCTACCTGAGACAGTACAGCACATAACAGCAGGGTGTAAGATGCAGGCAGGAAGTGCGTACATGGAACGCCATAACCAGGTAGCTGGCATAGTGACAGGAACATCTGCCATGAGTATGGACTGGAAGTCCCAAGGTCAAAATGGAAGACACTTCCTAAGGTAGTTGAGAATGACCGAGCTAAGATCTTGTGGGACTTCAAGATCCAGTGGTGATGGCTAACCAACCAGACATCGTGTTGATCGACAAACAGCAGAAGAAGGCTGCAGTGATAGATGTGGCAATCCCAAGCGACATCAAGAAGGAACACGAGAAGCTTGAGAAATACCAAGGGCTGAAAGAGGAGCTAGAAAAGATGTGGAAAGTAAGAGCAACAGTGGTGCCAGTGATAATCGGAGCACTGGGGGCTGTGACCCCCAAACTGGGAGAGTGGCTACAGCAGATTCCAGGTAAAACATCAGAGGTCTCTGTCCAGAAGAGTCCAGCCCTAGGAACAGCTAAGATACTGCGCAGAACCCTCAAACTCCCAGGCCTCGGGTAGAGGACCCGAGCTTGAGGATGACACATACCACCCCGCAAGGGGTGAGAGGGGGATTTTTCATACATATACATATATATACATATATATATATTAGATAGATAGATTAGATATAATTCTTATTAAAAAGAAATATCAATATCGTGCACTCCCGCGACACGATCCCAGATAAGCGGATGAAGATGGATGGATGGAATATCGTGCACTGTTCAGTATGACGTCATTATATACACTGACCTCTCTGAGCTCTGCGTCCCTGTGTAGGAGAGGCCACACTTATCATTTAGCTGTTTCAATGTATGCAAACTAATATTGATGAGTCCCCCCCAGATGCTTAAGGCCCCCACTGAGTGGAAAGCTACATAAAATGTGAACACAGCTTTATAAAGCCTTATGTGACTCTAAAGGGAACTGTGAAAAGTCAGGGGGAATTGCATCACTCATGGAAATATAAAACATGCTCAAGCATACTGTTAGTGTGGAATTTGGCAGAAGTGGACATTCTTTAAGCCTGCAGCACTAGCTGGCAGCTCTGCTTCTAAATGCTACACATAATTAGCTTAGCTTACCTGATCATACATCAAATCCACAATAATACCTGCAGCAACATTTTGGGAGCTTTTTATAAATCTAATGAGAATTTTTTATCATTAATTTTTATCATTCAACAAATAACAGCATCAGTGAAGTGAACACTGTACACTAACTGCACACATACACACACACACACACACATAGACACATACGTCCATACAAAAACTCATGAAGATATATAGGCACTTGGCGAAAAAACAACACATAATCAGTGACCCATGAAAGGTGAGCTGTGGTTATGGAAGATGAACTGTAGAACAGTACGTTTGCCTTTAGGGACCCTTCGGATGCAAGTTTTCGGACAACAAACTTTTTAGATTACAGGCGAGTCAGTCTACCAGAAAGAGTTTGTAAGACTGGAATCTCAGCTTGCCAACAACAGCCTTGACCTTTACACTGCACAACATAGTGGAAAGCCGTGTTGGGTGTTATGACTCCAGAAGCCGGTCTCCCCTTATTAATCTATGCTGCCACTGTGATCTCAGTGGAGTTAGATTCATGGGGGGGCACCCTATATGAAAAACGCTAAAATGGGATGACACGCTCGCTAATCTAATCAAGAAGGTCTAACAGAGAATGTTCCTCCTGCATTAACCTCCATAGATCCATCTTCTGATACGGTTGAGCAGTCAGTCGGCTTGCAGTTCTCTTCTGTAAAAGATCCGGATGGCATAAGAGCAAGAAAAAAGCCATTGAAAGACAGGGCTAATTTTAGCCCTTTTGGCCAGCTGTGCATTTTGCTGACTGCCTCCTGGCATACAGCTTCAGTGCATCAGTCCCCCACTACACTATGTGCACAATTATTTGGCAAGTATTATTTCTATGCACATTTTCCAACTCCTAACCATATAAACGTGAATGCTCAATTGGAGTTAATAATTTATATGTGATATGTGCTTGTTTAATGAGGGAGGGAGTAGCAAAAGTGAACGACACCTTAGATCAAGGTGAGCATGATTATTAGGCAGCTTCATTACCTCAGGTAAAATAGGCCAAAGAAGAGATTTAACTGACACAGAAAAGTCAAAAATTGTAAAATGCCATTGCCATGCAACACTCTTTTGAGGCGTGACAACCAGACAATCAAACATTTTGTTGTGAATAGTCAGCTGGGGCACACAAAGTGCATGGAGAAGAAAAGGCGCAAATGAACTGCAAAAGACTTGAGTAGATTTAAACGTGAAACTACCAGGAACCTCCAATGCCACCAAATTCCAGAACCACAACCTACCTGGAGTGTCCAGAAGTACAAGGTGCCAAGTGCTCAGAGAGAAATGAGATTGACTCTTGATGGACCAGATGGATGGGCCCGTGGCTGGAACACTGATGGACACAGAACCATTTTGACTCATGTGCCAGCAAGGTGGAGGAGGGGTACTGTTATGGGCTGCTATCATTAAGGATGTGATAATTGGACCTTTTGGGGTTGAAGATGGACTGAAGCTCAACTTCCCAAACCTACTGCCAGTTGCTGGAAGATACGTTCTTTAAGCAGTGGTACAGGAAGAAGCCCTCAGCAATCAGGTCATAATCTTTATGCAGGACAAAGCTCCATCACATGCCTCCAAGTACTCCACTGCTTGGCTAGCCAGCAAGGACATCAAAGATGCCCAATTAATGACCTGGCCCGCTTTCCTCACCTGACTTGAATCCTATTGAGAACTTGTGGGCCTTTCTTAAAAGTCAGATTTACTGTCAGGGAAGACAGTACACCTCTTCGAACAGCAATTGGGAGGCTGCGGTTGCTGCTTCAGTGAAAGTTGATAGTGAACAGATCAAGAAACGACTCCATGGATGGAAGGCTCGTGGCAGTTATCGAAAAGAAGGGTGGCTATATTGGTTACCAAAAATTTAATTTTATTGTTACGTTGCGTTGTTACACTTACTCTACTACTAAAAAACAGAAAATAAACAGGATAGAAATTATTTTGGTAATGTAGTTGCCTAATAAAGACAAAACTCACTTTTCCTAAGTTAAACATTCAGGTTTGAGTTTCAGTTATAATAACTGTGCATGCAGTGTATCTGCACTGCCATCAGTTACTTCCCTGCAACCATCATCTCTCCTATCAGCATCCCAGTGGCACACATAAGTATACACACTGGAAACTGAACCATCCAAATTTGCATATAGAGGCTAATTTAAGCTTTTCTGACTGATAACATGTCCAGATTCTTTTTACGTTTGTGTGTGTTGGACTTCCAATTGGCAGGGTGAATCTACAATATGTGTTTGCTGCTATTTTGATCTGACTCGCACTTTTCATGTCAGTCTTGAATTGTGTAATGTGTCCAGATAAAACTAGAAATGTGCATTCAGGCACAGTTTTAATAATACAAATCATGGGATCATTTGTTCTAAGTGGAACACACAAATGATTAGAAAGTATGCAGTGATCATTAGTATTTATATCTTCTGAGCATTAACATGTGACAGTGTTTTAAATCACTGTTTTAGATGGACACTGCCCTCACTATGCGGCCCGCAGCTTAGGCATTCATGCTGTAGCAGTAGCCATGCTGGGAATAACAGGTATTTTATCAGGCTCCCAAGTTGTTTCTGCTCATCTCCACTTTCAGCCTGAACAGTTTGTTAAGCTTCGACGCGTGAGCACCATCCTCACACAGACTGCAGCCTGCAGTATATGAGTTGGTTGTGCTTCTCAGTGACCACAGCCAAGGCTATTTTCTTTTTGAGACTGTCCCACTCATCTGTTGTCACTGAGTGTTCGCGCATGAGAAATGTTTCATTGTGGCAGCATGGGCTCTGCCTTCTGTTCGTAGATAATTGAACTGGTCTGGAGGAAAACATGTTCATATTATTTGGGATTTGTTAAGCGATTTGCAGTACTGTTTCAGATCACAACAGATTTCTGAGCAAATATTAATATCAGGTCACAGAGCTGTGACACAGGTCACAGTGGTTGGATGGGAGCTGTTTAATTTAGTACAAGAAACATTCATGGAATATTCCTGAATGTCAACATAATGATCAGGATAAAAGAAACATTCACAGGAGCAGAGTTCATACTCATTGCATTTAAGACCGCTTTGAGGCATTTACACGAGTGTACAACTTAGTAAAATAGTTTTGTCAGCATGAATTGGACCAGTCATTAAAGAAAGCCCAAGGTGATATTCACACACAACAATTTGAATTAACAACTGATACACCAATAAAAAGCAGAACTTCAAATGCATATTTAGTTTATATTATTCAATCAGTGTGTGTGATGATGCGTGCGGATTCCTCCCTTCATATCTGTCTCCTTCACCTTCCTTTAAACCTTCTCCTAACCTCCCCCTACCTTTTTTACTTCTCTTCATTCTCCAGACATGGCTAGCTTTATAGGGGGAGGTGGGCTAATGTGGTCATTATTGGAGCATGTCACACCTGAATCTGCCATGTCAGTAAACTTTACAGACTATGTGCATCTGTGCATGTAAAACATTCTGGTCTTTTGCCTGGTATAAAATGTCTACTGCCTTCTATAAAACCCACGCATAATGTCAAAATGCATGTGTGTGTGTGTGTGTGTGTGTGTGTGTGTGAGTGAGTGTGTGTGTGTGTGTGTGTGTGAGAGAGTGTTCCCAGCCGGCCCTGTGTAATTATGTGTAGCATTAACATAACATTACCCATTATGAGGAGTAATTATTAGTGTGTACCGAAAACATGAGTTGTTGACTTTCACTGAGTAGTTCTATTATAAAATGTTTGACACTTTGATGCTTCTTGTTTTCCCTTTAAACTTTATTTTGATAGAGAACACACAATGTACAATTGAATTTCTTTTAATGTTTCTCTCACAGGGAGACCTTGAAAATTGAATTAATAAGCTCACTGAGATTTAGACTTTGGCTGAACAGGTTGAGAGAGCCTGTTTCGTAACTTGATTTAATCACTGTGCAGCATGGGAGGATGTGGAGGATAATAGTACATGACCTAATGTACAAAATATGGAATAAATCAATAAGGCAGCTGTCATACTATCAATCAAAACCTTTGATGAGATTAACAGTAATGAACACTTAAGCCATTTTTCATTGCTTTAAGTATGTAAACTGGCCAAAACATTAACATTTATTAAAACTTAAGTTTAACCCTGTCAGTGCAAGTAGAATGCCGCGTTAGGTCCACTGTACAAACGAGCACAAGAATCTTGCTGCAAAACATGCACATGACAGTTGTTCACTTAATAACAGTAACAGATGTAATTAGACTGGTTAGATTCTTTAGTAAACTATTCACATTCTTGGTGTTGACTCTTGACACAAAATGTTAGAGGCGTGGTTTGATTGAGTAAAACCTGAGTGAAAGTTAAGTTACCGTTGCCCTTGTCAGTTTTTGCTTGTGTTAGTCATCAACTACTACCTTATTTTCAAATAGCCTGAAAAAGAAAATGTGTAATCCTTCCATATTTGAAGCTTATAAGAGACATTAAGAGGCACATAGATAGAAAAATTCTAGTTTTTGGCCTGGAACTGAAAGGGTTTAAAATGACATATGTTGTAATGTGTTTAAGGGTTAATTAACTCAATTGTGTATAAGAAATTACACTTTAAAATGTTCTGCTTGATACTGACATTTCCTTTGACTAGACAAGGGCCTTAGATCTGGAGTTGGTTCCTAGGTGCTGGAGAAAGGTTGCCTGCTGTTACTAAGCAATTGCAATAGGTCACATGCTGAGGGCACATTACCTTCCCATGTGGATTAATAATGTGTAATAGTGTTTGCTTTAACTTGCACTATTTTGGCAGCCTTTACCAAGCAAATCCCCTTCAAGGAGTGCCTCCACTATTTGGCTGCACAGATTAGGCTTTGATAAAGCACTTGTGGATGTTCAAAACTGGCACTAAAACAACTAATTAGCAGGAGGTGTTTGGCCCTTCTTTCAGGCCGCTCTCAATGGGAGCAAGCGACACCAACTCTCTCCCCTGCAGCACCTCCCAGCTGAATGTGTGGAAGCTCTCTTCCCTGTCAGGTATTTAGAGGTCTGTGTTGTGTCTGAGCTTTCGCCAGCTTCACAGGTCCTGCTCCAAGCTCTTTGATGATTGTGTGTTTCCATTCTATGGAAAGACACATAAAAATGCTTGTATTTATATACACAAGAACACACAAATTCATATTTACACGCACCTTTTTGGGCCAGGAAACTGGAGATGCATCAAAGCCTTTATCTGCCTTTAGGCTGCTTCCACAAGCCTAGGATAAAGAGACAGACGTGAGATAGAGGCGAGGAGGAGAGCAGAGAAAAATGAAGACGATGTGCTGACAACTCCTGGTGCACAGTGAGAAATCACAGGTTCCGCAGGTGACTGTATGTGTGGTGGACCCACAGGAGGAATGCTCAGTGCTGGTGGTATTACTGATCCTAATAAAGACAGAAAGAAAGTTAAGACATGGATAAGAAATAATAAAATAATAAAAGGAGGAGAGAGATTGTATGATGAGAACAATGCTGAAGGGAAAGCAAAAATAAGTTATAAGAAGCAACAAAAGAGCAGCCGTGTTATAAATTTTGTTTTTCTCAATAATCTTGCTAAATATATTTGTTTGCTGTATTTTAAAACTTAATTTGCATCCTTGTTGCACTTTCATCTGCCTTAAGGGCAAAGACAAAGTAAAGTTAGTATTTTATTCTGCTCTTCGTTCTGTTCTAGTGTTTTACTGTATTTCAAAACACACTAACACAACCTCGTGACCTGTCTCTCCCTCTCTCCGAAGGCTCGTCCTATTTCTTCAAGGGGAAGGAGTACTGGCGAGTGCCTGGCAGTGACATGGAGGCCGAAGCAGGATACCCCCGCCTCATCGCTAAAGACTGGCTGCTGTGCACCGAGATGCAGTCTGACTCTCCAGACACAGAGCCCAAAAGCACGGAGACGAGAGGCAACGTGCACCATCGTCCAGACCACGCAGAGAATGGATACGAGGTGTGCTCCTGCACCTCTGATACCGCTTCGCCTTTGGGCGCCCGCCCCTCCCCATCTCCCATGTGGCTGCTGCCACCCCTCTGGACGCTCTCGCTGGCCCTCCGCTCTGAACTGCTATGATGCCAAAGCACGGGACAAAGTTCTCAAGCTGGGTGCAAGAAAGAGACTCTTTCAGTGGAGGGCCAGTGGACACTCAGTCTGAATACAAACTGGAAAATTGTGTTTCTATAAATATCAATTGATATGTTTTATGCTATTATTTTTCTGTTATTTATTTCACATGCCATTTGATGGTCATCTAAAGCGCCTTGCAGTATGGGTAGTACATACATACATTATCATATTATGACACAAGGGTATATCTAGTAGGCATCAATCCAGAGACAATGACAATGAGTTACACAGAACCACAAGTTCTGTCTCTTAGTTTTTTCTCGAATGGTGAAAATATCTTATCTTTGCAAGGAAGCTAATTGCGTGGGACTGTTCAGAAATGTGTTCACAACTCCCATTACAATTATTTTTTTTATTTTTTTTTCATGTACAACAAGTTTGCAGCAATAATGAATGACATCCTGGGATGTAGGCAGGTCAGTGGGTAAATGGCTCGGTAGTACTCTAAGGCCTGTCCTGTAAATATTAAGCTATAGCTAGCAGCCACTTAGCTTAGCTTGGCTTGGCATAGCATAATGACTAGAAATGGGAGCAACAGCAAACCAGGCTCTGTCTATGGTAACAGAAAACTGAAGTGTAAAAACAACACATTGTGGTTGCAGCTATTTGCTGATAAGTGGATTTTGTTACCTTCAGACAGAGCAAGGCTAGCAGTTTCCCATCTTCCATGGTAAGCTAAGCTAACCAGGTCCCAGCTGCAGGCTTTTATTTACCATACAGATTTGAGAATGGTATCGATCTTCTCATCCAACTCTCAGCAAGAAAGCATATTTCCCAAACTGTTGCGTTAAATAGTGCCTGGTAAGTAGAAACTCCTGCCAGGCTGCTTATTTCCTCCCAGTGTTCTCCACCAATCAAATGGTTATGTTTCAGTTTACGTTGGTTACAGTTATGACCGTGATGGGGATCTGAGTCTGAGTCCACCAGAGACAAGAGACAGTACGTTAACGCAGCCTGACAGGAAGAGCTGCCTGAAAGACTCAAAGCAGGGCAAATAATGACATTCTCGAATATAGATACAGCAGTTAGACAGGTGACTGACACCCCGGCATGTATCTAGGCAGACAGGCGAAAAGTACCCTGGAATGTAGTGTAGATAGATAGTTAGGTTTACAGATGAATGGCCCCATGGGATGTTGACAGGAAGACAAATGAATGACAGACTGGGATGTCGACAGGTAGATGAATGCATTCAGGGCTGTAAACAGGTACACAGGCGAATGCCATCCGGTACATGAAGCAAAGGGAACCCTGGGCCGTAGGAAGTGAGACAAACTTTTGTGTCACTTAACGCCATTATCCTAGCTTAAATCCCTTACCTGAACTCCCACGCTCTTTGAGGAACTACTACTCATGTATCTCCATGAAATCATTTTCAGCCCTGACACAGAAGCATTCCCTGCCATTAAAAGAGGCAGTATTGGTTTTGTTGTATTTTTTGTAATTAATATGAATAGAAAAGTGATTCCATATCGCTTTTTAATCATATTTGAAGTTCACCAAGCCTTTTTCCTCACCGCCAGACAATTTCCTTCAAGTCAAGCTCTTTCTGGTGACTCGATTTGTTCTCTGATATATTTACCTTCAATTTAAATATAGACACAGATATATTTGGGTTGAGATGTCCCATGGTCACTGAGAAACCATGTGGACTGTGTATATTTCAAGGTGTGTTTTCTAATGTAAAATATTTTTGTAGAAAAATAAAAGAATCTGAATGACTTTATTGGCTAACTGTGGTCACATGAATTTGTACTGAGACAGAATACTTGGAGTACTCAGTGTTGTGGCTGTGTGAGTGTGTAATTATTTAGTGTCATTGAAAAGGAGCCCAGCCTTGAAGACAGATGAAGGTAACATGACAGCTTGCAGACACCAACTGGGAGCCACTCTCCCATCCCACTGATGTTCTTAAGCATGTTTTCTCTTGTAGTGGTCACTGCTGTTCATCAGGAATGCAAACCATGTCATGTCAATCACACTCCGAGTGGTTTTGTGAACGGATTTGCAGGCAGAGGATTTTATAAATATATATATAGCGGTGCAGTGGTGCAGTGCTTAGCACTGTCATAGCAAGAAGGTTGCATGTTCAAACCCCGGTTGCCCCGGCCTTTCCGTGTGGAGTTTGCATGTTCATGCGTGGGTTCTCTCCGGGTGCTCCAGCTTCCTCCCACTGTCCAAAGACATGCGACCTGTCCAGGGTGTACCCCGCCCTTCGCCCGATGGCAGTTGGGATTGGCTCCTGCCCCTCGCGACTGTGTACGCAGGATAAGCGGTAGACAATGGATGGATGGATATATATATATATATATACATACATACACCGGCACTTTTTCAGGGAAGTACATCAGAGAAGTGATGCAACCTGATCCAAAAATATTCAGCAGCTCAGATACTGCTTAGTTGGAGATCAAAGTGAACTGTGGGTGGCAAACAACTAAGACAAGTGCTTAGGAACATTGCATACCACAAGAACCCCAACAGACTTTCACAAATTAAAATTTAGCAAGAGGCTACTGATGACCTCTACCAGAATATGCACAGCCAAACTTCATTCTGTTTGGAGAAAAAAGTATCAACCATTATTTCTGCTATGATGACCCTCCTGCTTGATTGTTTATTATTCCGTTTACAATTCTGTTTTGTATTCTGCACCCCAAGATTACATGCACAAACACACTTGCCATTGTGTTTTGTTGTAATAGGTTGCAATTCTGTGCTTTTCAACATACTTTTTTTTTTTTATTCTCGTAATTTACTATCATGTTAGTTTATAATGAATCCATTGTTATTCCCACTGCTTCTCCCCTTTGTCACGCCTCGCAGGCCGGGCTGTGACGCCACTAAGAGCAGCAGTTTTTCTTTCCTCCTCTTGACACACTTGAGTGGTGTTAATTAACTGGTGTAGCTTGGTGGCCACCGGGAGAGCACCTGCTCCCAGGGGCGAAAGCAGCAGGACGGGTCACTTTTCAGCAGTTTGTCCAACTGATCCTATTTGAGCTGCTACATTAACCAAACCTAATTGTTACAGTTTGTAGGCACCTTGATTGCGGAAGTGTAATGAGCATTATGTTAAATTGTATTTTTTTCATATAACTGCTCAATATAACGTTACTGTTTTTAAAAAAAAGTCTTTTCATTTTTATCAGCCATTCCACATTCACTATATTTAATTAATACATCACAACCTGACTTGGTCTTGATTGGCACTGCTGCCGAACAACTGTGTGAAATATTTCCAGCCAGGCAGGTTTGCATCATTAAAATTAAGACTTCTCCCGTCTCCTGGGGCCCTGAAATGTGACTGTTTCATGATGGGAGGACCTACAGCATAATCAGAACTGATTACATTACGAAGACATGCACAAAATATACAAATGATATATTAGGCTTGATTTGTTTTACTTGTATCCTGGTACATCTCAGAAGAACTTCATGGAAAATTTGCCATAAGCATCCTATTATGTAATGATAAAAAACATTTTTTTTTTTAAATAGACAAAGAACTGTAAGACTAATGGGCACACAGGCTGACAGATGTAAAGACATTTGGACTTCTATGGCTAACATCTGGACAAAAGTAAATATCTGGTAGATTATTTTTTAATTACAAAAGAATCCTCTGCAAACAGAGCTAAACTTTCCACAACAATGAACACTCAACAACAACTTGCGTGGGATTTCTCTGCCCCCCTTGGCTGGCAGATGCCAAACTCACAAACTTAGAGTACCACAGTAAGTTCAAATGCAATGCTGTCAAGAGCCCGGCTCTGAGTTGATGCATGGCAGTGGGGTTGAGGGGAGGGTCCACAGAAGGAGCCGCTTCAAGCTTGCATGGTTAGAATCATTTGGCAGACTTGTCATCCTGGGCTCTGGCAGCCCTCTGCCGTCACATTCCTGAAAAGGTCACATTGAATTCAAGTCTTTGCCACACAAGCCGGGGGATTTGGCAGGAAGGAAGGGTGCACCCATTATTATCTACTCAGTCCGGAGTTTGAGCAGAAGCATCACCTCCACCCTTGACGCCTGGTGTGACAAAGTGACAGTGCTGGCTATGGGAAGGTTTACCTTGATTGAACATGTGTGGACTAATGTTGCAAAAATAGACACAGGGTACAAGCAGTGTATGAAGCCACAATGCCATATGGGTACTGAAAGCACATATAAAAAAGTAAGACTATAAGCAAGACTGTTGGCTTTTTCATCATTATTCTGCTGCAGTCAGACTGAAGAGGAGAGCAGAGATGACACTCAGGTTGATGTTATTATGACATATAGAAGCAAAGTGAGCAACAGAATTTTAAAAAATCAAAATACAGGGAACTTGATGAGGCTAGAGACACTCCTGATCTCGCCGGACTGTCAGTCTGGTCTTTCTCTGGTGAGCGAACTGACACATTTTATGAGGTGTTGACTGTGAAATGTCCCTGAGGCCCTCCATCCAGTCGAGATAAAACAGCAACACATGGTTTTCTAAAGATTGCCATTCTCATTTATTATCCAACAGGTAACAAGTTGAACGTGACTCATTAATGCACTCAAACTCAATTCAAGGTGTACTTCTTTGCATGTAAACAATTAAGAGGTGAGCAAGCCTGTAGATACCAGCCGCTACAATTTGAGATTATTATAATTAATAATTGTCACCCATTTCATTTTGTTGTATCTCCAGCTCTTAAGGAGAACTACCGATTTTACACTTCAACGTCTGTTTACAGGTCTTGGAGAGTACTAATGTATATGTGAAAAAAGTATAAAGATTTTGTGGCTCAGAGGAGGGATCTGACTGCAGCTGCGGTGGGGCTGTATGGTTTTAAGTACAATTTAACTCAACTTTCGTCACATACGTTAATCATTGTACCATTATTTGTGACTAACACGTGGGGCAAGCTTACAATTGCTTAGTGTTGCATCAACTTAAATTATTTGTACCAACTGGACCTTAACAAAGTGTGGGCATAGCTAGCTAAACCCAGCTAGCATAGCTATAGCAAGCAATTCAGCATCCATTGTTGCTAATAATGTAATGCTGGTGGCGAAACATTTAGTGGAGCTTTGAACTGTTTCAAATGAATTCTCTTTTTTTTGCAGTATTGCCTGCATCAGACACATCCAGCTATACTAGGCTATGTGTTGTCAGGAATAAAGCAGTTTGAACAGGGACCCTACTCGCTCACTCACACTGCTGCTTTTTCCTTTCATCTCATTCACTCTATGGAGGCATGTTGTTGATCTCACCCCTGTTCTTCTAACCTTTGCCAACTGAATAGACTCAGCATCTTTATCCCTGTTGTCATTTAGATTTGTTATGTTTAGGCATGTAGCTGTTGCTTTTACAGAATGACTGCCAAAGAGCGCAAGGGCTTTGTTGAGGCATGTACACCGGTAAGGAATTTTCAGTAAAGCACATTTCTGAGGCAGCCACTGTGGTATAGTGCCTTAATTTAATGTGTGGCAAAGAACAGCAATTGTCTGATAGTACCGATTATTTTAGTTTTTAAAGTCCTTGCACACTCACACAGATGTTTGGATTTTTATTTTTATTTTTCCTGGCTGATTAGACCTGTATGCTCAGGTAACGGTTTGGCAGAGCTACGCTGGGAATTACCCGAGGTCATCAAACTCAACAAACCAATAAGAATAATGAAGGCAAAAGTTGCCCCAGCTGTGTGTGTTCCCACCAATCAAGTCTTCTTCTGTCTTGTGTAAACATTAAATACAGTTGTACGATGTAAATACACATTTTTGGGTTTTTGTGAAAAGAATAATTTAAGATTGTTCCAGTGGAAATGGCCATTAGATTAGATAGCCAACAATTTGTCCAAAAACCAACCAAAATAGATTGCCACCAGTGATGTCACTTGAGTCATCAGCAGTTGGGGCTGAAGAGTAAAAGTTTGAAACCTGGGGGTGTGAAGTTAGAAAGAAGTGAGGTTACCAGACCTCTAGCCTGCTACTCATCTCTGCTTGATGCTAGCAGCTTGAGGCTACATTAGCCGCTACTAGCATCTCACACCAAAATCTCTGACCCAACTGTTGACGGTCGAGTTGCATTGTGGGTAATGTAGGTACCAACGTTTTGACAAGGAAGAAGAATTTGTGGATTTAAATATAAATTAAATAAATAAATAAATAATACCATATGTAAATCTGATTCTGCTGATCCTTTTTTTAAACTATCCATCCATGTGTCAATCAATGTGACAGGAGTCCAAAGCTAAATCGGTGGAGTACACTTTTAAGCACGTTGTAGAGGCCTTAAAATTAATTTCCTGTTGTGTTGAGAATATATAACAGAGCTGCTAACACCTAAATACTGTTGAACAGTAGTGGATTAAAAATGAAGAAAAATGCACAAATACTATCGCCCTCCTCTCGTACTTCAATTCAAATACAGGGAGTAGTGAGAATACAGAAGGTTAGAGTTGCAGAGAATGATCAGCAGGTCTGAAAGCATTTATCACTGTGTTCCTTCACTCGGCTACTGTAATATTTTAGTGATCTGTAATGTGACACCACTGAAGTCAACACTGACGCGTTAAACAACTTGCGTTTTGGGAGTTAGAGCTACTTGACGGTTTAGAAAAGCTTTATATCCAGTCTATGAATACCAAAGTGTCCCCTGAGTCCAAACCTCCCTCAGTTGTAATAGAGTGTATTGAATTTCCCTCAGCTTCTCAGTTTAATTATCTGGCATGACCTACTGGCGGGAGCACACACTTGA